TATTTTTTTTATTTATTTTTAGATCCACCATTCATTACAGTACAGGATGAGTCGGTGTCCATTCTACGAGGCTCTCCTGCAGTCCTACATTGTAATGCCTCGTCAGAACTTGACGTCAGTCTCTCGTGGGTTTTTGAGGGTTCTCCGCTCCTACCAATGAACTCAATAGTGTCTGATGATGGCCACACCCTAACCGTGGGTACAGAGTCACTGGATAATGCTGGAGTGTATTCTTGTGTTGCAACTGATGGTATCTCTGTTGTTAGTAGAGACGTGAGATTGAATATTTTATGTAAGTAATGCAATGAATTTATTTATTATTTATATTTATTCTATTTTTTATTATTTATTTATTTGTTATTATTATTATTATTTATTTATTTATTATTTTTTGGGTCTATTACCTAGTAAAATATTTATTTTATTTTTCAATGTCCCTCAATATAATTTTGTCTCTTTTCTTCATTCTCTCTCAGATGGCCCTGAGTCAGTTATCTTTACTTGTTCAAAGTTCAATCTCACCGAAGGAACAATGGCAGCTACCTGCAGGTGTAGCTCCACCTCCTATCCACCGCCCACGCTTAATTGGATTTATAACGGGACCAGTGTATTGCCACCTGGTATTGGAGTGACACGGGTTAGTTGCAAGTGTAGTGTAATTTAATGAACGTTTGTTGCATAAGTTTGTTTATTGTCAAACAATTTAAAATGGTCATAACTTGAAAATTTTTGATTGGGGGAATTGGCTCAAACTTTCTACATAGCATTAGGACATCAATATGTATCAGAAAATGTAATAAAAATTAGGGGTGATTTTTTAGTCATTTTTTGAAAAAAACTATGGGTTATAGTCTTGGGTAGTTTTCAAAATTTTAGCGTTTTCTTAAAATGGTCATAACTCAAAAATTTTTTATCTGAATCAGTTCAAACTTTCTACACAGCATAAGGACGTCAATATGTATCAAAAAATGTAATAAAAATTGGGGATCGTTTTTTAGCCATTTTTTGAAAAAAACTATGGGTTATAGTCTTGGGTAGTTTTCAAAATTTTAGCGTTTTCTTAAAATGACTGCAACTCAAAAAATTGACATTGGAATTAGCTCAAACTTTCTACAGAGCATAAGGACATCAATATGTATCAAAAAATGAATAATAAAAGAAGGGTCTTTGTCAAACCTGTTTGCTATTTTTATGATTTATTTTGTCTCATTTTAGACCATCAGTGGCAGTCTTATATTATTCTGGACGAGAGGTGTGGTTTATACTGACGAAGGGTTCTACACTTGCAGAGCCTCTAATGATTACGGATCCGTAAATGAAACTAATTTCATTTCTGTCAATGGTAAGATATAAATAAATAAATTATTTATTTATTTATTTTATTTTCAGCCACGCCCATCATTCGGTCTTTTTATCCAAGTGGCTCCGCCGTAACAATCAGCTTGCAAGAAGCCACGCCCTCTTTCGGTTGCTTACCAAACTCCACCTTAAGCTACTGCAGAGTAGTCTGTGTCGCTCGTGGTTGGCCCGCCCCCTCACTTTATTGGATCGACCAATCAACATTAACTCCAGTAACCAATAGTTACGTGGTACGAGAAGGAGGTGTGGTCTCTGCCGTATTAGACCTGGCCGATATCCAGTTTGGAGACTTTAGTTGTGAATCTGTCAATAAATTTGGGAGAACGTCTCAGACTGTAAGTATTACGGCAGTGACCACACCCCCTGTGATCCCGCCCACTCCCCCTCTTCCCGATTCCACTCTCAGTGCTAACATGAGACTCCGCCTACTTAATTCCAACTGTCAGTCATCATCGGAAGAAGAGATAAGAACTGAAATGAGTAATACATTAACAGACGCTACTTTATCCAACTGTCACCTCTGTTCCCGTGACAACGAGACCATAACCATAGAAACGAGCAGGTGTGACTTCGACGGGGCTACCGTCTTTGTCGCAAGTTTAAAAGGAACAAGCTCAGGCTCATTCCAACGGCTTTATTCCTCCTTCACTTCATGGTGGTCGTCCAATCCTCTCATATCTTTATCTGGTTCTCTCTACCTTCTTGATCACAATTGCTCACTGCTGATTCAAGATGGCACTGATCAGTTTAATTGCGTTGAGCCTGTAACAGCTTCTTCTCCAACCCCCACTCCTTCCAGCGATCCTAGTACAACTTCTGTCATTGATACTTATCAGATCATTTGGATTGTTGTTGTCGCCGTCATTGCAGCTTTATGTATGATTGTTGGTGTGGCCCTGTTTGTTGTACTCTGTCTCTGTGTTAGGACATTGAGAAGAAACAAGAAGGAGGACATTGGAGAATCGTAAGAAAAAAAGAGAGGGAAAGGAGAGAGAGATAGTCCCAGAAAAAGAGATTTCTTGTTCTTTAATTTGGTGCTATATTTAGCAATTTTGCTACAAACATGTACATGTACATTAACGAATGCTGCATGACAGTGATACTAAGGATTACAATCTCCAATAACTGTTTCCTCTAGCTGTACTGTACATGCATATTTACCATAATTATTATTGTTTTTATTTTTCTTTCTCTCTTTACACAGTATTGATAATAGTTTATCTAATCTACGTACCTTCAGTTCTCGTAACGCAATGAGTAGGTCTAACATGGAGATGGATGCATCTTTTGCCGGCTCCCATTCAACCCTAGGGGGAAGACATAGAGGCAGTATCGATGATGATGGAATGCTCAGTAATCCGGAATACTTTGATAGAGAATTAGTTCAGCAAGTAAGGAGAGAAAGCAATCTATCGGAGAGCACTTCATCACAAAAGAGGCTCCTACAGACCACACCTACTAATGAGATTGACTACCCTAGTTTCAGCCAGTCGCAGGGGGAGAGTTACCATGGAAACGATCGTCGCTCCAGTTCCCATAGCGAGGTTATAGTGAGTAACACTCCCATACAGGAGATACTGTACAGCGATACGACACAAACTCCGCCTAATTTCACACCTCCACCAGTTTTTACACCTTCGACTCCAGTTCCTCAGACCACTCCTCCTCAGTCGACGCCCACTCCCATTAATGTGTACGATCAGATACGCCCGACAGCAACCAGACGAAGCATTTCTCTGGCACAGAAGGACCCTCGTCACCAGCAGAGTTCCACCCTCCCTCTCTCGCCAGCCCATAAATACGAAGAACCAAGTCCTCCTGCTCATCCACGAAGTCGCATGAGAAGCAACCCGAGTATAGCCACGCCCTATCCATTCCCTTATTCTCAACCAGTTTCATCTCAAAGGGATATTAATAAAGCGGGTGTGGTTAGCCCCGCCCCATTGCACCTAATGCAACGAGCAACTTCGGTCCCGTCCGACCAGCACTGGTTCCACCCACCACAGAGGGCAGGGCACCCTAAGAATTCTATTGGTAGTAGTAGTAAGCTACCAGCAGTACGAGAGAGAGGTACATCCCCTCCTAGTGATCACTGGTACCATGGTAACAGTGATATAGTCACGCCCACTAATGTTATTGATTATGCTACCAGCTCAATTAGTAGTCAGAGTTTAAATCGACCAATCAGCAGAGGGCACAGTGGAGGCGGTGTCGTACCACCCGTGAGACAAGGCGTGGTATTGTACGAAGTATGAGATATAGGAAGGAAATAATTTTAAATGATGAGCATCACTTTTGTGGACTCATAATTAGAGATTTACGTGACGCAAAATTTTCAGAATAATAAAAAATTGATCATTATTTTTTAAATCGCATTTCATTTTCTCTTATTATTTTGTGTTATAATTATTTTTTGTCTCTACGTCAATTCACTTTATGTCTATTATCATGATTTCATTTGTTTTGTAATTTGAAAATTGATGCATTATAGCTGATTAAAATAGCATTAGAATCATGTACAAAAATTGAAAAAAAAAACCATCCCAGGCCATATATGCACAGGCATCTCCATAATGTAAAAGATGATCTTCAACAATTTTTAGAATGTAAAAATTATATGTAGCTACATTGTAAGTCTTTATGCTATGTAATGTACATGTATAAGAAGTTTGAAGCTACGTGTAATAATTATCAGCATGACAAAATGATAAGACAATACTACAGCTAGGAAAAGGAATAATCAGCAAGAAACATAATATACTTGTAGTTAGGTACTCTAGTTCAGGATTATATGAGGTAAGCTAATAATGTGCAGAATATAAGGACAAAGACTGATAGCATCATGGTAGCATTGCCATCAGTTGGACCAGTATCAGTTGAAGCAGTATCAGTTGGAACAGTATCAGGTGGACTGGTACCAGTTGAAGCAGTATCAGTTGGAACAGTATCAGGTGGACTGGTACCAGTTGAAGCAGTATCAGTTGGAACAGTATTAGGTGGACTGGTACCGGTTGAAGCAGTATCAGTTGGATCAGTACCAGTATTCAACTCATCAAAAACACCTAAGAATAAGATGTATGCATATAATTTTCTCTCTCTCCTTACCTGGACACTGTGCTGGATTACCCAGTGTGATGTGATCATCTGATATCATAGGAGTGTCTGGATGCTGTCCTATACTAGTTATAGTTCCATCAGCATTAACAGTGGCAGCTCCATTGAGTGCATAAACAAAGAACCTTGGACTGCTCAGATCAATATCTTGAGTTGTATCAACTGCTGAAACAGTACGGATGAAAGTGAATGAAGTATAGCCGTTGCTATAGATAACACGAGAGTATAAAATATTGTCTCTATCATCAGCTGGTGGCATAGTATGACCAGTAGCCCATCTAAAGAGAGAGAGAGAGAGAGAGAGAGAGAGAGAGATGGGGAGAGAAGAGGTCACATCATGATGCAAGTATAAATGCTATTGCTTACTTGTCAGTTACTTCTCCTCTGCCATTAGAACTAACTGCTGCAAGAACAATATCAGTTTGAGCCTGAAATAGAATGAAATACTTATTTTAGACAATGGACTGACTGGTTTACCATTAATCTGTTATCAGAGAATCCAATTGCAACCCATCGTCCAGTTGAAACACGACCGGTGACATTAAACTGAACGTGCTCACCTTTTACTAGCCATGTGGCTCGATAAAGACAAGGGCCATTGGTACAACCGTAAGAATAGCCACCGCCACAAGTTGAGCTATTGGAAAATGACTTAGGATCTGAGAGAAAGCAGAAGGAAGATAGTTATGATTTATTTGTACAGGCGTTAGAAAAAGCAATTAAAATAGACAAATAGGATTAGATATAGACAGAAAAAAGAAAGACAGCAAAATAGAATTAACTGACCGATATAAAAGTGCTTTGTATTAGTCCCAGCACTAGTTGTGACCAGTACTGTATAGTTACCAGTCACTTCTTCACTCGGTCCCATTATACTACATACTGTTGAGTCTTCACTGATAGTGTAGTAAGGACTGGAGTTATCTATAGTCATGTTGTTGTGGTACCAAGTGATGCTTGAAGGAGTAGGAAGAGGAGAACCGTCCGTGTATATGATAAGAGAGAGGTTAGTGTGGTTGTTCACTCTGAAGGTAGAGCGAGGAGAATACACTGCTGGATTAGCTATAGGAGGGGAGAGAGGGGGGGAGAGAGAGTAAGTTTTGCAACATAATACAACAGAATACTTTTGCTCAAAACAAATAAATAAAAACTGTAAATAAACAATTAAGCAATAATTTAGTAAAAATCAAAAAATCAAAAATTTAATTTCTATACCATCAGTAATGAAGACTGTCTCTTCCTCTCCAGCAGAAGTACAGGTATAATACCCACTATTAGCCGCTTGAAAACTCTCAAAAGCTAAACTACGAAACATTGTTGAAGTATTAAACTGATGAGGACTTTCAGAAGCCTCAGATGTTACACTGGCCCCACCCCCTAGTCCTTCCGACCAATCAAATTCACCCGTTCCCTGACATTCAATGTTAAAATTTGATAAAGTAGGTACATACAGTAGAGGTGACGTCACTAAACTAGATTCATTATTAGTATCAATAAGCATCAGTTGAATGGATCCTATAAGAGGTGTGGTTAAGAGTGTGGTCACTAGTTATTAATAGTTATTAACCTGTGATATTGAGAGTGCCCAGTGATGAAGTATAATTTGATCCGTTAGTAAAAGATGATGAGCACTGATAAGAACCGGAATCAACCACTCGGACATTAGGTATTGTTAATGTACTGATCATCTGTAACAAAAAATAACTATTAATAACTAGTGATAACCAATAATAACCATTAATAAGAATATCAATATAACTTACGGTATTTTCTCCATTGCTTTGTGTACTAATGTTAGTGTTTACTGGTAGAGTTCCGTTCAGTTTGCTCCAGCTAATGTTAAAGGAAGTTCCAGCCATTACAGTACAAGAAAGACTAATGGAGGACCATTCCTTAACTCCAGATACATTCTGAGGACCTGATACTATAGTAGAAGGAGCTAGAGAGAGAGGGGAGAGAGAGAGGGAGAGAGACCATAAATATTAAGAAGAGCAGTCTTACTTATAACAATAAGGTCAACAGTTGCTGCTGCGGAACTTTGAAGTGCACCTGTACCAGAAGTCACGGCAAATAGATATGTTCCATTATCAGAGGCAGCTGCTGATGGAATGTAAAGACTTCTCTTCCAGGAATCAAAAAGCCCTGATGTAAACTTTATGCTGTTGAGTTTCCATGTTATATTGCCTGGTTGAATAGGTTGTATAGCTGAAGCATAGAACTCAATCGTGACTGGAGACCCACCAACAACCGTCAGTAATGGATTGACGGCTTGAGCAACTGGGCTAGCTAAATAGGGAGAGAAAAAAATATTGAATTAATATAAAATATTAAATTGTATAAAATATCAAATTGTATCTATAAATAACACACTTAAAAATGAAATTCTAAAATAATAATTATATTCATCATTTACCGTGTGTGATGTTCAGCATCTCTTCTTCATTATTTGCTGAATCTCTGCAAATGTATATACAAGCATCATTTGCAACAGGGTTGCTAAATAACATAATTACAGAGTCATCGCCAGCACTTTGTTGAGATTTTCCTAAAGAACCTTCGTCCCGAGACCAACTTAGAGAAGGATTAGGTTGATCTGAACGACAAATGAAGACAAATGTCTGAGGTGCAACACCTCCATGTTCATACGAGGCTAGCCCTTCAACTCTCCAACAAGTATTTGATGTTAAATTACACGAGGAGGCATCTTCATGTCTTTGATAAAATGTAATCTTAGCTGTATGAGAGAGAGAGAGAGGTGGGGGGGGGGAGAGAGAGAGGGAGGGAGGGTAAGGAAGATGACAGACATGCCTTAGGATATGTGACATATAATCAGTACAACAATTTGCATCAATTTCAATGATTATGTCACTTCACATTGCAATGACACACACACACACTAACATGCATAATGACAACCATTATAAAAGCATTGCTCCATATCAATTTCTATTCTTGGTAATTTTGATTTAAATTAACAGAAAAATTTTATGGCCTGTTAGCAATTTTGCGAAAAGGAAGAGCCTGCTCTGTATAGCACCTAATAAATAACAAATGCACAGTTATATAATTCAATAACTAGAACTCTAACAATAATTATAACTAAATCATTGCTAATTTTAACTAAATCCTTGATATTTTAGCTATATCAATGATGATTTAGCTAATCAATGCTGATCAATAAATCAATAAAATCTATTAATAGTATTTAAATCAATAGTATTTTAATTAAATCAATAGTAATTTAGTTAAATCAATGTTGATATAGCTAAATCAATGTTGATTTAACTAAAGAATTATTATTTTAACTATTAATCAATGACAATGTAACTAATTAAGTTTAGTCAGCTAAATCAATAGTATTTTAACTATATCAATGGTAATTTAGTAATATAACTAAATCAATGACATATTTTAAAGATTGAAATTTGACATAAATGGCACCCCATACTATACATTCAACAATGCTGCTTTCAACATTTGCCCAGCCTTTGATCATGCTTAGCTGTATTCAAGCAACATGTTGCCTTGAATAGAAAACCTTTCTATTCTTTTAACAAGGTCAAAAGAAAAATTAAAGGCTGGCAACATGTTCCCTATAGGTGCATCTTGGGCTTAAAGATAAACACATGATCCACTGGCAACTTTGTTGCCAGTATTTTTGATGTAGTTGTGCAAGATGTTGCATGAAGTCAAGAACTTCATGCAATACCGTATGGAAGGAAATTTTGGAGGTAGTTAAATTTGGTGAATTTGGCATTTTGATTGCCATTCGCCAAAATAAAAATTCGCCATTTTGAGCCATTATACGCATGCTCAATGGCACATGGCCACAAATTCGCCAAATTAAAATTCACCGATCATCCAAAATTTAGCAATTCGCCAAAATTTAGTCCCTCCAAAATTTCCTTCTGTACGGTATGTTGACCAACCACATCAAAGGTTTAACCACAAGTTACAAGCAACAATGCTGCATAATGAATGCCCACCTTAAGACTTTATACTAGAGGAGGAGATTGAGATAAAACTTACCATTCACTGGTTGCTGCAGGCACAGAAGAAGCAGCACTGAACTCAAACTGATCAACAGCATTGTCCTCTCCAGGGACTTGAAAGAAATGAACGCAAGAAAGTCTCAGTGTAGTAGCAGGTTCTTGATTGTTTTTTTGGCGGTCTTGTGTACCTCTCCTAGGAGCAGAGGAGAGAGGGCTCAGCAAAACACAAAAATATTACACTTGAAAATGTGCCCATTAGCCTGAAAATTAATACTTGCGTGTGGACAATAGGGCTAGGCAAATTATTCTTAAATTTCACTTGTTATGTTTTCAGGCACTGCCCAAAATTCCACCCTATTATGCTAATTATCCTCATTATTGATGCTCATATTTTAAGCTTTAGTTAAATATCGACTATCAAGTTACACATAGAGTCTTTCTAATATAATTGTAATAAAAATGAGTCACTGGAAATAGAATAGTCATTGCTCTAGTCTAGTACTTGTACTACCTGCCACATTGAATTGTAATTTTTATGTGGTCATTCATGAGATAAAATACTTTTAGAGTATATGCGTGAGTAATGAGACAGATCACATTATGAGACAAACCTTTGAATTGAAACAAGCTCTTGCTTACAATTTCTTTGCTACCTGATTTATAATTTTCTTGCAAAGATACCGTATAGCTGGTTTATTTCGTGTGGAATTAATTTTCGTGCAGGCTCAAATCCACTAAAATTAATTCCACTAAATTTTATTAAAATATTAACAAAAATTTAGCAAGGCACTAAAATTAATTCTAATGAAAATTTAAACAGCAAAAATTTGAGGCCACGAAATAAACCAGCTATACTGTAGTTTGAATAAACGCAGCTTTTTACTAAAAACTAATTTTCTAAAATTTTATTTATTGAAATCACGCCTACTAAGGTAATAATTACTAATAATGACCACGTTGCGAGTTACTACGGTCCTAGTGTTGTCTGCTCGAGTCTGTGTGAGTGTTTGGCATCTTAAACAGTGGCGGATCTGGGTGCAAGTTAATGGTAGGGCCAGGAAGTGGGTGTGTCCACTTTTCAACCAGTTATTTTATGGTTATGCATCTTTTGGCCATTTTAATGATGGGTTTCAACAATTTCCTCATCTATGCTGTGCTTATAATGCTCTTCAAGCACTTGTAAGTACTCTGGTGTGGCTTGTGGTTTGCTTTATCAAAACTTGAGGCAGGGAATTGTTTACATTGCATCTAATGAATCTCATTACTGACTTCTGATGCCCGGGCCATGGCCCGTCTAGATCCGCCACTGATCTTAAGACTTTCTTCCAGCCTGTTTCTGTCTCTAATGTGACTGGCATTGTATGTAAGTGATATATCTAATGCTTCAAAGAAAATACTAGTTTATAATCTATACTGTTTAGGTTAACCTTAATGGCCGCATGTCCTCAAAAGTCAAGGAAGCTATGGACCGATGAGTCCATGCACGCAGCAGTGATTAGTGTTACAGAGGAAGGGAAAGGTTTAAGGGAATCGGCGAGACTATATAATGTGCCTGTTGAGACGTTGCGGAGAAGGACGAATGGTACTGTGCATGTTGACTGTAAGCCGGGCCTGCAACAGTCTTGTCGAAAGAAGAGGAAGATAAATTATGTGAATATTTGATTATGATGGCAGACATGGGTTATGGATTAACAAGAGAAACTGTGATGCATTTAGCCTTTGTTATAGCTGAGAAATTTAATAAAAAACATCCTTTTACTGGTGACTCGGCAGGTCGTTCATGGTTTGATGGTTTTTGAAAACGACATCCTATGCTAACAATTCGTATACCTCAGCCACTATCTCAT